ATTATTATTATTATTATTATTATTATTATTATTATTATTATTATTATTGTTATTATTATCTTTATCACCATGACAAAAAATTTCAACAGCTTGCACAACATGTTTCATGCATACCGGCCCATTCATTGTATGACAATCCTTACAAATACATATACACCTGTAATAGACCAAATTTGACAAAAGAACACATACACAAAATGTTGTAGTGTCAGCTTGACTCTGAGAGAGTTGAAGGTTATCCAGCCAGAGATTTGACTCTGACTTTGACTTTCACTCTTACTCTGACATTGACTCTGTCTTTGACTCTGACTTTGACTTTGACTTTAACTTTAACTTTGACTTTGACTTTGACTCTGTCTTTGACTTTGACTTTGATTCTGTCTTTGACTTTGATTCTGTCTTTGACTTTGACTTTGATTCTGTCTTTGACTTTGACTTTGACTCTGTCTTTGACTTTGACTTTGATTCTGACTTTGACTTTAACTTCGACTTTGACTCTGTCTTTAACTTTGATTTTGATTCTGTCTTTGACTTTGACTTTAACTTCGATTTGACTCTATCTTTGACTTCGATTTGACTCTATCTTTGACTTTGACTTTGATTCTGTCTTTGACTCTGACTTTGACTTAAACTTTGACTTTGACTCTGTCTTTGATACTTATTTTGACCTTGACTTTGACTTTGATTCTGCCTTTGACTCTGTCTTTGACTTTAACTGTAACTTTGACTTTGACTCTGACTCTGATGTTTGTCGTTAACATTTTCCAGGAGAGGCTGGACCAGGCAGAGGAGGAGAAGGCTCTGGCTCAGGGAGGAGAGGAGGGAGAGGAGAGTGACGTTGCTCCCGTGGAGATCTCACTGCCTCCCGCTGACGAGGACTCCGACAGCTCTTTGGATGATGAAACAGGTGGGTTGACTTAGAGAGAGAATTTATATAGAAATCTTGGCAAATGTTCTCTATGCGCAGATTGTAAGTTTACTTAATTTGCGATGTGCATGTATGTACAGACTGAGATATATTTGATTTCTGATATGACTTTTTAATTGAAGATTGTGAGCATATTTGATTTATATTTCTGTGTGTGCAGGACAAAAATATATGTATTGAATTTGTGTTGTTTTATGTCTTTACCTGTAGACTGTAAGAATTCTTAGTGCTTAGTTTCTGACACTTTTTAAAATATAGACTGTAAGTTGTTTAGATTTCATATATTTTAAAAACATTTACAGACTATGAGATTGTGAAATTCCTGATATTGTTTAATTTACAGACTAAGTTTTGTTTGTTTGTTTTTTAATTATTAAATTACAGACAAAGTTCATCTACTTTTTCTCTTATTTTCCCCTGTATGTAGAAGAGAATGTGGTAGACTTGGCGGCGCCAGAGTTTGAAGGCCTGTGGGACCGTGAGACAAAGCCGTACCGTGTGCCCAAGGACAATGACATCATGGCAAACAAACCTTTCGGGGGCAGCAAGATGGACAAGGTGGGTACTGGGGGCTGTAGGAGTCGATGGACAGTGGCATTTGTGTTTTTGGTTGTTGTCAGCAAAATGGGCAAGGTGAGGACAGGGAGCTGTTGGAAAGAGGCATACTGGTGGTGGTGGTGTTGTTGTTGTTGATGTTCTTGTTGTTGCTGTTGTTGAAGAGTTAAAGCGGAGAGGGGGGAGAGAGAAAGGGAGAGAGAGAGAGAACAAGAGAGAGAGAGAGAGAGGAGAGAGAATGAGAGAAAAAAAGAGAGAGAGAGATACAGAGTGAGCGAGAGAGAAAGAGAGAAGAAAGGAGTAACAGAATGTTTGTTGTTGTCATTTTACAGGGCTTTTTTCAGAGGAGGGTGGTTGAAAAAAAAAGGGGGGGGGAGTGTGGGAACAATGATATTATAAATGTTATGTTCTGTTAAAATGATTTCATATGGAAGTAGGTTGCTCTTGTCTTTTACCACTTATGTGTCATTTGAATGATACGACTGTTCATGCACAGTTTTGTAGTTTTTATGTTCACTTTTGCCAGCAAAAAATCTGTATCATTGTTATCATGTTCATTATAATAATATTGATAACAATAATAACAATAATAGTAATAATGATGATAACAATAATAACAATAATAGTAATAATGATGATAATAATAATAATAATAAAAATAATA